CAGGAAGCAGGCGTCCCTCACTACTTTAGCCCAACTAGAAAGAACTAATGAGCAGTTATTTTCTGAGGCAAGTTTCAGACTATCTAGAGTTTCCTGCAGGTCAGTTGTAAGGTGCCCGGCTGGAGGCCTAGGCTCACGGGCTTCCCCGGTGGTCAGAGGGACTGGCGGTGACTGGCTAAGATGGTATCAAGACTCAGGAGGCTCCAGCTTGAGGCAGACCTGGAAGAGGATGGCCCTACAGAATTACCATAAGAATATAATTTACACACACGGCTGAGTGGCCTGGTGACTGGTACTGAGCCACCCTGATAAATATACCACACTGATGCTCTACAACTGAGCTGAGAAAACAGCAGTAACCTATATTCCTTCAGGTGCAGAAGCAAAGAAGATGGGGTGGAGAGGGGGCCTGGGAGGCTTCTGTCGCTTTACGTGGCAAAGTTAGCCCGATGAATTCAGAATTTAGCAATTCTGAGTTCTCTTTTTTTTCAGCTTAAACACAAAAGTCTAAAACGATTGCATCTCAAACAGAAGGATCCTAGAATTCACTGCTCTTTGTAAATCCTGATACATCTCCTCCAGATACCAAAGCAGAATTTCCCCTCCAATGATACTCATTGGGATTCATCACCTTGCCAGCTACTATTGTACCTAAGGTGGACAGGGACCCTCCAGGTACCAGCGGAACACTTCACTATGGTTCTGTGTTGCAGAAGCACCTGGTCCTTCTCTGAAATAGGAATCACTCCCCTTTGGTTCTCCTGTCTCCCTACCAGCCTTTGTCTGCAGAACTCCTTGACTTTATGTGGAAGGTGCTTTTCAAACTCCCAGCCCCGTGTGCTAAGTTTTTCTCCCATAAATGCTCCTAAAGTGCCTCTCCCTGGTTCAGGGCCCAGAAAACCCAGCTCAGTCCCCTGATCCAACTGGCTATCAACACCCTCCATCCCACCATGCACCGGGAGCCCACGGAGCACGAAGACCTGTATTAATCGTCCTCTTCCAAACCCTTTCACATCTCTACCCTCTCTTTCCCCCAAACCCTCACATCGCCACCCAGGATTCACAGCTTCCCTTTGCTAATACAGCTCACCTCCCAACCATTGTATCTCTCCAGACATAAGCATAACTGCCTTTCCTCCACCCTCAGCCAACTGTAGACCCCTACTCTACCTTTGGATTGGGAGGAAGGTGTTGTCACCAGGAGACACTAGGGCAATCTGCTGAATTTGCTCTGAGAGTAAACATCTACCAATTTAATTTTTCAGGGCTGAGCACATAACGAGAAACTGACAAAAACGACAAGGAGAATGTGATGGGAGAGGAAGCTGGGAAGGAACACAGAGGGCCTTTGAACAGGGCTGGGTGGAAAAAAAGAGGGAAGTAATTGCTTATATCACAATATCCCACAAGACCAGTATTTGTTTCAAACCTCCTCTACCTCTAGTTACTGCTGCTACACATATCATTGTCCTCCACGTTTGAACCACTCAACTTATTCTAGGACCCTGGGTTCCTTCCCCTGGATCTGTGGGGCCACGTGAGCACGGAGTGCATGCACTCACTCAGGTGATAAGTATCTGCACCTGTCCATTTAGGTGACTCTCCCAGCGCACCCTAGGAAATGGCAGAGAAGGGCTCCCTCTCCTTCCCTTCTCTCTTCTCTGCGTCCAAGGATTACACTCCAAGCACTTTAGAGGTTCTTAACATGAGGCCCACAGATGAGCTTCAGGGGCTCTGGGAACCTCTCAATATTGCATAAATCATTTGTGTGTGGGGGGTGTGCAGTTTTCTGGGGGCAAGATTCACCCTTTTTCCCCTCAGATTTTCAATGGGACCCCAAAAAAGGATGAGGAACCTGATCAGTCCATAGCCTGTCTCTGGGCAAGTTACAGCCATGGTGGTCAGGTCCCAGCATGGTACCTTGGAAGCAGCCATCACCGCCGCTGTGGCCGCCACGTTCAAGCCTCGCTTCCCAAAGTGCACAAGGGCATCATAACTTCGGTCTTTTGCTTGGACCAGGCAATCATCGATTTCCTGTCAAAGGAAAACAGAGGCACACTGAGTTGGAAAGCTCAAATAAATCTCTGTTTCTTCTCCCTTCTCCTGAGCGCTGAGCTTGGGGGCTTGTGCCCAATCACTCATTCTCTCTGGCATTGCCACTAACTGGCTGCCAGACCTGGGCAAGTACTTAGCCTCTATTCACAGTTCTGTCTTCTGAAAAATGAGGACCCTGGTAGCACCTAACTTGTGGAGCAAGGTGAGGATTACATGCGATCATTCCAGGAAAGCACCTGACACAGTGGCTGGTTTCAATAACCAAGAACCATTGTCATCTTCCTTATCTCAAGGAGGTCAGGCCCCGGCAGCTCTGAAATTCTGTTATTCCATAGCTATTTCATACGATATCCAAATCCCTCCCCATGTATATAGCAATGGGAGGGATTAGGACATAGAAAGAAATAGGTGTTATTTTTGTTGACAGAGAAGATCATTTTACAGGTAACAAAATAAAAGCAGAAATTAGAAGGCATCCAGCATAATACCACAAGGTAAAGGTGAGGTGGGAAAGAGGACTGACACCTACTTCAGGGACCAAGACCAAGTAAGATATTGGTTCAGTTCAAATTTGAATCAACGTTGACTCATTCTTCTTGTTTGTTTGGTCTGGGTGGTGGTTGTCACTGTTTTAAGAAAACAGCTGTTTTGTAATAACAGGAGCTCATTGCAGAGTTCAGTCAATGACACTTGGCCTCCATCTCATTTGAAGTTCAGCACGTCGGTGCACTTCCTTCCTGCTTTGAGGTATGCAGGTGGGCAGTCAACCCCCTGCCTTGTCCTTGTTTAAGCTTCTTCAAGAAGTCACAACACTAAGTTTCCACTGCGACCCCTGGCTGACTCCAGAAGTGATTCTTGGCAGCTCTTAAGAGCCAGTCCCCTTCATTTCAACGGAAATTACACTGGCAGCTTCAGGGTAAGTCCAGCATTTGGAGAAAGGGAAGTAGGAAGAATAGAGATTTGATAACCAGGTCGAGACAGGGATTACCATTCCTCAAAATCCACCCTCTGAGACGGGAAGTGTGTCCTAGTTCCTAAACGGATTCTCAGAAACGTCTACAGTAGCCTGCTCTTCCAACCGATATACTCAAAGGCTTCCCCTGGAAGTCCAAAGTATCCAACTTTCAGAAGCAATAGAAATGAATATGTCAAGCCACCAACAGTGCTCCTAATTCATACTGTAGAATCCTACCACACAATCAGTTTAGAAAGTCATATAATATCATTAATGAATTACACAATGTTGGACCCAGTAATCCCACTCCTGAGAATTTATTCTAAGATAACAAGTCAACAGAAGGAACTATATACTATGTGTGGTGATTGTCATGGGTCACTAGGAAGACCAAGTGAAAAAGGATGCTATGCCATCATGTCTAAGATCTCAGAAGATAAATATTGCATCTGCTCATCTTTTTTGTTGTTGCCTCTTGGTTTGGAGTGGCTTTTTTTTTTCTTTAATGTAGGCTTAAAATTTTATTTTAAAGAAACGTTTCACAGACTGAATTGAACTTAAAAAAGGAGCTACCAAACAAATTAATAAGACAGAGGTCATGTTTATCTTAGTGGTCTCGGCATCTATTACTGTATGAAATCTTAAGAAAATAATGGAACAATCCATTGAAAGCGATTCCGGCAGATTAGGTTCAGTGGAGACGTTAAACAAAAAATAATTTTATAGACAGTGACATTATCTTATAAGTAGCTTAAATTTCTTTTCAAGAGGTGTAAGTTGTAATTCCTCCTTGAATCCTTAGTTATTGTTGACCCCTTCCTGCAATTTCTCCCTGTCTTATTTCTTCCATCTCTGACAACAAACCTACATTTTCATTTCAAGGATGTATCTGAAGTACTCTGAAGCGAAACAAACACAAAAGATACACAGCATGAAACAAATTATTATGACTATTCTCATTAATACTTATTGACTGATAATTACTAAAGTGCAGGTATTTCATTGGTAGCATACATTTTATCATTGAACAATAAAGCAAACATACTAGAAATTAATTATATTCCAGTCTCTGTTAGTAGCTATCTGGGTACAAGTTCAAATCATTTAATCTCTCTAGGCTTGAACTTTCCTGGTTTTTTTTTTTGTGGTACGCGGGCCTCTCACTGTTGTGGCCTCTCCCATTGCAGAGCACAGGCTCCGGACGCGCAGGCTCAGCGGCCATGGCTCACGGGCCCAGCCGCTCCGCGGCATGTGGGATCTTCCTGGACCGGGGCACGAACCCTTGTCCCCTGCATCGGCAGGCGGACTCTCTACCACTGCGCCACCAGGGAAGCCCAACTTTCCTGTTTATGTTAAGTTTTTAAAGTATTTTAATAGTCTATGTAAAAATCCTATCTGCAAAAGGAGAGGGGCTGAGCCTGATAAAAGGAAGGAAATTCAGTTTGGGGAGTTGAATTATGAGTGAATCTTTTCTGCTTTTTGTTTCAATGTATGGAAATGTTTTACAATAAATAATGATGAATAATATCCTTTTGAGAATTTCACCACTATTTCTAAACAGGTCATAAAAATAGACTTAAAAAAGAAAGATTAGAAGGAACCAATGTTGGAGGTGGGGGAATAAGAGTCAATTAAGAGCCTCTTGCAATAAAACAACCTGCCTTTTTTTTTTTTTAATCACTTCTTAAAATTTTTTCACTCGCTGGAAGGAGTGCAAGGCAGACCAACATAAATTACCTTTTCTTTTGAGGACAGCGTGGGATGTACAAACTTCCTATAGAGGAGGCTGGAGCCTTTTGTGTAGGGAGACAGCAGCCAGGCTACAAATGCTATTTTTAGTTCATAATAGAATGGAAACCTGGAGAGAGATGAGAAAATACACATTCCATTAGGTTCTCAGCAACTCCGCCCTGAGCCTTTGAAACATGAGACCTGGGGGCATAGACACCTCTCCTGCCTGCACACGGCTGCCTGGCCCCCAGATTCCCGTGAAGGTGTATGCACACACAAGCACATCCAAGGCACAAGCCCAAGGCCTCTTGAAAGCCATTTCTTTTTTTTTTTTTCCTCTTTGGCCATATGGCTCAGCTTGTGGGATCTTAGTTCCCCAACCAGGGATTGAACCTGGACCCTCAACAGTGAAAGCACTGAGTCCTAACCTACTGGCGCACCAGGGAATTCCCAAAGCCGGTTCGTGTTTTCTTTCATTGTCAAGCAAGCCAGGGACCTGGGGTCTCTCCAGCAATCACCCTATGACCGTGCTTGACAACAGCTGGAGCTTCCGTCTGAGCTCTGCTCATTTCGGTTGGAGCCGGGGCTCCTGTAGGCCCAGGTGCCACAACCAGCCGTGCCCAACTTCCCCGGTCATTCACTCGTCACTGGAGGCCAAAAAGGCACAAACACAGGATTTACAGTAGAGATTTACAGTAGGGCAGAGCTGACAAAGAATCGCCAGACTGAGAGTGAAAGCCTCCCCTCCTTGGCTATCTTCTTAGTGCCCAAAAGGCAGGGATGGGAACTCGACTCTTGCCGGGAAAGAGGATGCTACTCACCCTATTCAAATCAACAGCAGGCTGGCGGGGAGGAGGGGAAGCATCAATTAGGAGTTTGGGGTTAATATATACACACTACTATATATAAAATAGATACCAACAATGACCCACTGTATAACACAGGGAACTATACTTAACATTTTGTAATAACCCATAAGAGAAAAGAATCTGAAAAAAAAATATATATATATATATAACTGAATCACTTTGCTTACACCTGAAACAAACACATCATTGTAAATCAACTATACTGCAATTAAAAAAGTTAAATTTAATTAAAAAAACCAACAGCAGGCAAAAAGGTCTTCATCTTTTTGGTGCCAAAAGAAAGAAGAGTTCAGGGTACAGATAACATACGATTCTGAAGTTTAAAGTCCTGCGTGCCATTTGTTTATGCAGCCCATAAACACTCACCCGGCACCCATATGTGGCAGCTGGTGCTGAGCACCAAGGAGACAGTGGGAAGCAAAGAAGACCTGACCCCTGCTCTCTTGGAGCTTCCAGTCTGGCGGGAAACACAGACAAGGTTCTGGCGTCCTTGGAACTGGCAGTCCAGTCAAGGAAACAGATTGCTCAAATCATCACGATTAATATAGAATAGCAACCTGAGACAAGTGCCATCACGGGCCTCTGCTGACCCATGTGGTGCCTCTGCACGTGTGAGAAAAAGCCAACTCCTTACAGATAGAGGTTGTACTTCTGTGCAAACATAGGTGCAAGAGTCTGATTGCCCACAGTCACACCCTCACAGTGTAGGACCAACCGTAAGAGGCTGCCCGAGGCTGGGCGGGGGTGTGTGTGGGTGAACGTTAGATCCTGAGCAATCCTTCTGGGCTTCCAGAGACCCTTTATTCTTTGGCCAGCCTGCTACTGAGCCTCCTGTTCTTCAGGATTTTTCCCGTGTGCCCCATCCATGCTGACGCAGCCTTTGAAAACCTTCCTGACTCCTAACCTTCTGGCTTCACCTCCCAAATCTTCTCTTGTCAGGCTGGCAAAGCATCTCCAATGACCAATTGCGGTAGCAGACTTCACTTGGTGGTCTCCAGACCACCAAGATACCGCCCTCCCTGGCATCTCTAGACCAGGACACAGAGGGCTCCTCTGTATTCCCCTGTCCACCTTGGGTGATGGAGCTTCCTTTGAAGCGAAATCAACTATTTATAGAAGAATCACAATGGAATGGGTTTGTTCCTTGGGCAGAAAGCTGACATGAATATCCAGAGAAGAAAAAAGGAAGAGGTTACAGCCTGCTAATTCTCGACCTTTCCAGGACTTTGGTTAAAAGTAGGCTCCTTTAGAGTCTTAGTAGCAAAACTCGAATCTCAAGACTGCCTCCTACCGTTAGCAATCACTACGTTTTCTTTCAATTTCTCTCCTCAAGCTTTTTTCCTGCCCCACTTTCTACTCAAAGATAACAACTAGCTTATTGATTGATCCATTCAGTTGGGAAAATTCTATTGAAAAGCTATGAGGTGAAAGGTCTGTGCTTAGCAGTACAGGGAAACCAAAGCTAGGTTAGGCGTCCTCGCCCTTAGGGGTTTATCATCTAGCAGGAGAGTGGAAACCAACAGGTGACCCCATAATGTGCAATGTGATATGGAACAATGTCTTAGTGAGAATCAAGAGCCTTGCTTCTCTCCAAATCTCCATCTGCCGCCCACAAACATCCACTTCATAAATTCTTACTATGTACCTGGCATCAGCTCAACCTTGGTAGGCCCAAAGCAAATCTCTCAGAAGTCTCTACACATTACTCTCTGGTGGGTGAGGGCCCTCTCCCCTTTGCAGATTCAAGTGAGGAAATGAGCTTAGGACTGAGCGGGCCTCAAGTTTTAGTCTAAGCTGCCAGTGACTGTTGGTAAGGCCTGCGGGCCACCTGAGAAGGTCCCTGGGGATGCCAGCTGCCCCGTGGTATCAAAAGAAGCTGAGAGCTACTGCTGAAATCTAAAGCCTCACGCCACAGAACATAAGTGGGAAACCTCCCTACCTCTCTACCGTGGAACGAGATATCCTGGGTAGGAGTAAAGGCTGTGTATCTCAGCCAGGACAGGAAAGGAAGGCAAGAGCGTGGACGGAGGGAGGCTAGACAGACAGACAGACAGACAGACAGACAGACAGACACACACACACACACACACACACATACACACACACACACACACACGCTACAGCGGAGAAAAGAATCCTGCCCCTAAGCCACCAACATAGAAGAACAGAGGACAAGAAGAGGCACCTACTTACTTTTTAGTGTATTGTTTCAATTTTATTTTGTCATGTGTATGTAGTATTTTATAGCTTTTTAAAAATTAAATGAAATCACTTACAGTATGAGATGGGAGGAGAGAGAGATGTACTCCACACCTGTGCCTCATTGGGATTGGCAACGCCCCAAGGTGAGCTTCCTTCTCAGAAGGCTGCTTAGAGGTGCTGACTCTGACTAAACCACCCAGCACCCACATGAAATTGCACACAGAAGGTTCTACAAATATATGGAGATGGTGGAGACACCTCCTCGACCAGCCTCCGGGGAGCTGCCTCCCCTCCCCCGGTCCTAGACATATTCAAGCAGGTCCCCAGCGGCCTTGTTTGTACTAAGTGACCTCTAGGTCACAGCTGACCTCTGGGCCAATCAGCTTGTCCACACCCTTGGAAAGTGACATTTGGAACTGGGAGGTCCTCACCATGGGCATAACCAGTGCTGACAGGAGTGATGGGCAGCTGAGGGACCGAAGGCAAGTCCCTGAGCTTCAGAGCTGGGGTCCCCAAGGTGGCCGGCTTCTCTCCTTCCAGTTCTTAGTTGTTCAGCTTTCCTTCCATTCCATGATTTACTCCAGGATCTACCAACAAAGTCTCACTGTTTTCTCTTCTTTTCCTTAAGTTAGTTAGAGGTGGTCTCTGTTGCTTGCTAGAATGGATCCGGGGCCTCAATAACCTGTGGCCCATGGGCCAAATCCATGGTGACACTCTATGTTAGTAAATAAAGTTTTACTGGAATACAGCCATGCCCACTCATTTACATACTGTCTATGGCTGCTTTCATGCTACAATGGTAGAGTTGAGCACTTGTGATAAAGACTGTATGGCTCTCAAGACCTAAACTGTTTACTATCTGGACCTCTACAGAAAGAGTTTGCTGATGCCTGGGTTAAAAGTCTCAGCCTCCCACCTCAAGACCCAGTGTTTCGAATGCTGAAGTGCATGTTATGTCTACTGCCTCTGGAATCATCACACCAGGACCAGGCTCTTGCCATGCATCACAAGAGCCTCCACGTTGGGCTACGCAGATTCTGTGTTTCCCAGACGCCTTGGGGTATCTTGACTCTACCAACACAATCACCACCAACCAAGTCAACTCCCAGCCATTGTACCGCCATCCCAGCCTTCATTCAAGAAGTGAAGGACCCTGCACATTCCGTAAGGATAAGCCCTTGAACTGCCCTGACCTTGAGGATGTGTTTGAGGAGAAAAGGCCAGGTGCAACCATCACATCCAAGGCATACGCACAGCACTGGGGTGCATGGGGCAGGTGTAATCTCTCTATCCTCCCAATGTAACACCTTCACACTTGAAGGGGTAAGGGTTTTCGAAGAGGGTTGGGCAAGTGACAAAACTGTCAAAAACACATACAATTAATGTGTATAGAAAATTTCTGGAAGAAAACACAACTAACTTTTTTTTTTTTTTGGCCTTGCAGCTTGCGAGATCTTAGTTCCCCGACGAGGGATTGAACCCATGCCCTCAGCAGTCACAGCATAGAGCCCAAGCTACTGGAGCACCAGGGAATTCCCAAAACACAACTAACTTTTTAAAATGTATTTATTTTTGGCTGCATTGGGTCATCGTCGCTGCACACAGGCTTTCTCTAGCTGTGGCGAACGGGGGCTACTCTTTGTTGCGGTGCGCAGGCTTCTCATTGCGGTGGCTTCTCTTGTTGTGGAGCACGGGCTCTAGGCATGCGGGCTCAGTAGTTGTGGCTTGCAGGCTCTAGAGCGCAGTCTCAGTAGTTGTAGTACACAAGCTTAGTTACTCCGTTGCATGTGGGATCTTCCCAGACCAGGGATTGAACCCATGTCCCCTCCAGTGGCAGGTGGATTCTTATCCACTGCACCACCAGGGAAGTCCTGAAAACACAACTAACTTTTTTTTTTTTTTTTTGCAGTACGCAGGCCTCTCACTGCTGTGGCCTCTCCCGCTGCGGAGCACAGGCTCCAGACGCGCAGGCCCAGCGGCCATGGCTCACGGGCCCAGCCGCTCCGCGGCACGTGGGATCCTCCCGGACCGGGGCACGAACCCGTGTCCCCTGCATCGGCAGGCGGACTCTCAACCACTGCGCCACCAGGGAAGCCCACAACTAACTTTTAACAATGGTACTTCTGGGGAGGGAGCTGAGAGCCTGTGGGAGGAGGGACTTACTTTTCAGTGTATTGTTTCAATTTTATTTTGTCATGTGTATGTAGTATTTTATAGTTTTTTAAAAATTAAATGAAATCACACATATTGTGAAAAAAGCCACCATTCTATCTCTTCTGTGACCGTACACAATTTCTGTTTTCATCAACACAGGAAGTTTTTAAAAGTTACCAATGAAGAGGGAACTGCCCTGGCGGAGGGGTGGAGAGAGCAGGATGGGGATGAGTGAAGAGTGACAGGAAGACTATACACATGAGGGGCGATCTCCAGTCCCGGAAGTAAACAAAAGTTAAAGATGCTTCTAGGAAGCCAGAAGGTGCAGGACTACCCCGCCCCCCTTTCAATTATAAACAGAGCTTAGAGCAGCTGAGTTGGTGTCCATTCCCTGGAAGGGAAAGATGGCCCTGTGTCTGATGGTCTATCCTGTGTCCATTCCCAGGGTGAGAGGGAGGATGGAGAGCAAGGACTCTCCTAGAAGGAGACCGTGATCTGTAATACCTGGAGGTTGGCAGGAAAAGAGAAAGCAGGCTGAGGGTGTGTCCAGGCTGTGAGCTGAGGCAGGCAGGGAAGGGCCCCAACGAACCATTCCCTGCAGAAGCAGAGCCCATGGTGCCAGGAGAGAGGCAAGGGACCCTCGCTTTCCACCCACAAACTGCATGGACAGCGCCAGTTCAGAGGGACTAACGAGGGACCAGATGAGGCCTCCACATGGGTCAGGAAGAGAGGGGGATCCTACCCATATCTGTGCACATGCTCCAAATACCCTAGTTATCAGATGCCTTCCTGTGGCATGCAGCACATGACCCTGATCCTATGGCCTTCCTCCCCATGTTACCCACAAATATGTTACCTTATGTAGCAAAGGGATTCTACAGATGTAACTACAGGGTAACTAATCAGCTGATTTTAAGATAAGGAGATTATACTTGATTACTGAGGTGGGTCTAATCTAATTACCTGAGACTTTAAAAGCAAATGCAGAGATCTTTCTCTGGCTGGTAACAGAAGAAGATGGAGATGATGTGCCATTGTTGGCTTGAAGATGACAGGGTGGCACACGTCAAGGAAATGGGGACCTCAGTCCTACAGCCACAAGGAACTGAATTCTGCCAACAACCTGAATGAGCCTGGAAGTGGAATCTCCCCAGAGCCTCCAGATAAGAGCCTAGGCTGACCCACACCCTGGTTTTGGCCTTGTGAGTTCCTCAGCAGAGTTCTCAGTTGACTCCCCCTGGACTTCTAACTCACAGAAACTGTGAAATAATAAATCTGTATTGTTTTAAGCTGCTAAATTTGTGGTAATCTGTTACTGCAGCAACAGAAAAGTAATACACTGGGACTTCCCTGGTGGTCCAGTGGTTAAGAATCCACCTTCCAATGCAGGGGATGTGGCTTCGATCCCTGGTCGTGGGATTAAGATCCCACATGCTGCGGGGCAACTAAGCCGGCGCACCACAACTACTGAGCCCACGCACCACAAACTACAGAGCCCACACACCACAACTAGAGAGAAGCCCACACGCCACAGCGAAAGATCCCACATGCTGCAATGAAGATCCCGCAACCAAGACCCGACGCAGCCAAAAATAAATAAATAAACAAAAATTTAATTAAAAAAAAAAGAAAAGTAATACATCTCCCCAAATCAAAATCAAATCAATCCCAGAAACAGTTGTTGAGCACTTATTAGGCATGAGACTAAAATTCCAGGGCCATGGGTGAAATATATTCCAGCTACCAGGGAGCAGCATATCCATCATCAGGCAGGATTTCCACCCAGGAAAGAGCAGAAAGGCTGAAATGCCTGAAACCCCCAGGAAAGAGCTCATGAGACTAACGCTCTCCCCGCTTTGTTCATGATAAGGGACGGGAGGACGGCAGGAGGCCACCTGGCACCAGACAGAAGGAGGGGAGCATTAAGAAGGCTGCACGACATGAAGTGCTGGCCATGCTCTTTAATCGACTATACAATCCTCACTGGGTCTGGCCTGTTCTCCTCATCTCTGCACAACAGACAGGAACCTCCCCACTGTAGCTCTGCACAAAATGAGGTCCACCTCCTAGTGCCAGCCTCTGGGGTCTGGGGAAGACAAAAAAAATGGCTCAGCAGAGTTCCGTCTCCAGTCCTGGAGACTCAGCCCCGCCTTCAGTCTGTTGTTTATCTGGGCACAGGACAGGGAAGAGTGGCACAAGCATATTGAATTAGGTAATCCAGATTCCTTCCTTCCAGCTTAAGGCCATTAATAGCTGAGACATCTATCTCTCCCAGTAGAGATGAAAGCCAGGCTCCTTCAGGGGAAAAACTACACACTGAGGTCATTAAGGCCACTGACCCAAGACAGGATTCAGTGAACTGGTGTTCAGAGAAGTGGATGTCTTTGATATAGGACATCCCAGAGGGTAAGTCCAGGCTAATCCTTTCTGGGGTAAGAACTTTTTTTTCCCCAAATGGAAATATCTTTATTGTTTTCCCTAATGAAACCTGATCATGGTAAAACATTCATACAACACAGCAAATGTGAAACTGACCCCATGACCCCAAGCTGCGGAAATAACCTTTGCTAACAGCCTAGTATTTTCCACACTATTTTTAGTACACATTCACATGTGCACAAACTCAGACCCTTTAGATACAAACAGGATACTGTATATTATTCACAGCCTCTTTCAGCTAAGACACAATATATGAATACAAACACCTAGCTTATGATTTTCACTTGGTCCATTGCTGTAATAGCTGCATTGTTCATGAGAGAGAAAAAGCTGTCCATCGAAAGGGGACTGATTAAATAAATTATGATCCATCTATACCATGAAATTCTATGTGGCCTTTAAAAAAGTAGGTAGATCTATTTATGTTTACGTCGAAGTATTTCAAAAATAAATTTAAGAAACAAAGTGAGAACTGTTAGGTATACTACAGTACTATTGTTTTAACAAAAGGAAAAGTATGTGTATATGTGTGTACGTATACACATGCATACATTTTTTAAAAGTATATACAATTGTGAAAAGCAGTAATGGTGAGAGTGAATGGTGTAGGGGAGAAACTTAGTTTTATGAGAGAAACTTAGTTTTATTGCACACTTTTGTGTACTGTTTTTCTCCTTTTTTTTTTAACATAAGAATGCTTCTTCACCAACTCCATTAATTGAGGAATTGTGTTTATCTTGCCCATCATTATATCATTGTAAGAACAATACCTGCTCTTATATGGTCATTCAATAAATATTTACTTGAAGAACAATTTTACAGACTAATTGAGTTGAAATGTTCCAGTTAGCATTCCTGCACCTGCTT